AAAAAAATGGGCACATTCAAGGACGAGTCCAAAGGTTCTCCTGTAATAGTCTTCTACGGTCTAAGAGCTAAAATATACATGTACCGATCCCGAATAAGACTCGACAAGAGAGCCAAAGGGGTTCAAAGATCCGTTTTGAAGAAGAACATCGGTGAACTGGATTACGCGAAAGCTTTGTATCAGAACGTCAATACCTTGCGTAAAATGCGTCGTATTCAAAGCAAAGAACTCGAGATGTACACCATAGAAACCAAGAAGAAAGCCTTATCCAGCTTCGACGACAAGACAGTCGTTTTACAAGGCAACGTTGTCACTCTTCCGCACGGCCACATAGCACTCGAAGCACGCAAAAGTTTCGCCACCGACCTCAACGATAAACTTAGCGACGTCGTCTTAAAATCCTCCGATCCCCAAACCCGAACGAATTTCAAAGCCAACTTGGATGCTTTGGAGAGGAAATCTCTAGAAATGCGAAAGACTTGGTACCGAGAAGAAAAAAGAATGGTACCGAGAAGAAAAAAGAACGATTCTCAAACGTGAGAGGGATGATAATGAAATTACCGATACTTCCAAAAAATTCACGTTTTTAAAATTGCAGCTTCGGACAGGACCACTGAGCGGCCGGTCGGCGCTCAGTGGGCCTCTAAATTAGCGCTGCGGAGCTGTAATTTTAAAAACGTAAATTATTTGGAAGTATCGGTAATTCTGAACTCAGCGACCCTTAAGAGTCCCTAATAAAGCATTTTGCTCAGTTTGAACACTCAATCTGATCTAATAACAGTCAAATCCGACTTTTTTGCGCGCGAAAATCGGTCGGCGCGCGTTGAGCGGAAACTTCAATCGATCATAACTCCGGAACCGTTTGGTTCCCTAGCTTACACGACCACTCGTTGGATGCGGAAAAAGACGAACAATTTGAAACATTGGTTTTTGATTCAATTAAAAAATTGAGATCTTTGTAAATTTTTCGTTTAAAAGAAATTTTCTAGACCTAAAAACTGGAAAGAAGCATATATATTGACGTAAAAATGTGATATCGGGATTTCGACCTTTAGAATCTTAAAGTATGCAATTTTAGACGATTTTTCGTCCAAACCGGACCTCGATATCTTTCTTTGTTCAAGAGATATCGAGTTTCACAGGTTTTGACTTCCACCCCCCCCCTAGCTTTTTGGGGGTCTGAAAATTTGGGAAAAGAAGCGCTCAAGTATGAGTAATCAATAGACAAAGTCTGAAGAACTTCCAGAGGGGGGGGCGAAAAAAGCCGTTTTTGCATCAAGCTCTTTCCTTGATGACGTATCCCCACGACATGCGAAATCCTTGAACGTCGAGAAAGCAGGTCATGGCGAATGTAAAATTCAAACTTCTGTTAAAAAGAAAAAAATAACGGAGCTAGGATTGTAAACAAGATTTGGCTGTGCGTCATTCAAAATCACCTATTCTCTAGGTTCCACTCTGTATCGATAAGTTTTATGATGCGGACCAACGAATACAATATCTTGCTGTTTTTGATTGATTTCTCTGAGTCCGTCATCCGTTACGGTGTCTGAATAGGACTTGGGCAGGTAAATTTTGCGTTGTGTTCCGTGGTAGTCGATGTAGGTCAGGATGGTCTCCCCGTATTCGGTGTTGATACGCATCATTTTCTCCAGAAGGAATGTTTCGCCCCTTTGCAGTTCGGGCGGATGGATTGATCGGATCGGAACGTATAATACGTGATTATTTAGCTGATCCATCTGAAACATTACGGAAAATACAACAAAAATCAGACTTCTCGATGTCTCTTGGTGTTTCCCTCGTTCCTCCCTTCATTATCATCCCTCTCACGTTTGAGAATCGTTCTTTTTTCTTCTCGGTACCATTCTTTTTTCTTCTAGGTACCAAGTCTTTCGCATTTCTAG